ATATTAGTCTTCAATTATATAGGATATTCTACTCCCTGTGTCCTGTTAAAATGAAATTCATAGATAATTATACATTATTTAAAAAACAAAGTTAGTATTCTATCTATATTTTGGAGGAGAAACAGAAAAGGTAATAAAGTTATTCTCAGATACAAGTAATCCAGCCAACAAATATATAGAATTAATATGGACTCAATAGCTACAAATACAGACAGATAGCAGTGGGCTGTAATTAGTGTCTTAAAACCTTGAGCTGTGTTACCTTGTGATGTGATTTTTTAAAATGGGAAAACAAATCTTAAGTTTAAACAAAATAAAACACAATCTTCCCCCGGTTAACATAATTGCATGTTTGGAAATACTGTATTTCAAAACAGTTCAATATTTCCCCTCACCACTACCCCTAACACTTATGCACTTGTGATTATATGCAAAAAGGAACTGGTTCCAGGCTTAAATATACACTCAGGGTTTTCACTTACCTTACTATCTGGTTGAACATTGAATGAAACTCGGGGGAATTCTGCCTTGTGCAGAACTGTCTCAAATATTGCCAGAGTCTTATGTTCCTAGAACCAACACACTGAATGCCAGTACATGGCCTTTAATGACCACTTGTTCCCCTAAAAGTTCACTGTTCCCTTTGGGAATACCTGGACATGTGAGGCCAGAAGAGGAGAGGTTGAAAAAAAAAAGGCAAGATAGATGTCCTGGCTGGGTGGTTCAGTTCGTTGGAGCATCATCCTGTACACCAAAAGGTTGAGGGTTTGATTCCCAGTTGAGACACAGGAGGCAGCTGATCACTCTCATTTATGTTTCTCTCCTCCTCTCTAAAATCAATAAAAAATATCCTCAGGTGAGGATTTAAAAAAAAAAAAGGCACGATTGCTTATTGTCCCTGCCAGAGTGTAAAGTGTTAAAATTGGGAGGTAGAAAGATTAGAACTTAAGAGAAGAAGCACACATATTCATATCTTGGTGGAAGTCACATTTCCCATAAATGAAGGATAGTCTTGCTTTAAGGATTTTGTGGTATGCTGGTAAATTATTTCTGCATTAGGCACAGGGGTGGGTCTCAGCCCATCCTCCATGCCCCCCACCTAGACCCTCCCACTGCGGCTCCTGGTCCCTTCTGAGCATAAATATTTATATACTTGTTTGTTATTTGCCCTTTTCATTCATTCTAGAGTTATTGTATTTATGGAGCATCTGGTGTCTCACTATTCTAGGGCCTGGGGTCTAACAATTAATAGAAGAGACAAAAATCTACATATGGGAATGGTTAAAAGTATAGTCTCACCTGGCCTGTGTGGCTCAGTGGTTGAGCATCGACCTATAAATCAGGAGGTCATGGTACAATTCCTAGTCAGAGCATATGCCTGAGGCATGCAGGAGGCAGCCAATCATTTATTCTCTCTCATCATTGATGTTTCTATCTCTCTTCTCCCTTCCTCTCTGAAATCAATAAATATTAACAACAAAAAAGTATAGCCTGTTAGGAGCCATATTAAACTAGAGTACACTTTTCCAACTAATATACGCACACCCTAGGAGTATTTGGTCTTTGCAGGAAGTTATGAAGAAGTAGGTGCAGCCATGTGAAAGATGAGCAAGGTGCAATTTCCTGATCATTATTTACTAACTAGGGGCCTGATGCACAAAATTCTGTACTGGGTGGGGGAGGTCCCCTCAGCCTGGCTTGTGCCCTCCTCTCACAGTGCAGAAGGCCCGCATCAATCACCTCAAAGAAGTAAGCCCTGCCCACCCATCTGGGGCTCCTAGATGGGTTGCCCCAAAGAGGTAGGCTGGGGCCAGGGGTCCCGCCTCCACAGCAGGCGCGGGGCTGCAGGAACCTGGGCAGAAGCTGCATGGAGCAGCTTCTGGGACTGGGACCTGCCCCTGCTCGGAGTGGCCAGCCGCTGGGCCCAACCTCTGCTGTGCGCAAAGCCATCTTGTGACGGTGTGAGGGTATCACAGCCTGACAGCATGAGGACCACCTAGGCTTTTATTAGTAAGATAATAAAGTAATTTTAGCTGAAACCGGTTTGGCTCAGTGGATAGAGCGTCGGCCTGTGGACTGAAAGGTCCCAGGTTCGATTCCGGTCAAGGGCATGTACCTTGGTTGCTGGCACATCCCGAGTGGGGGTGTGCAAGAGGCAGTTAATTGATGTTTCTTTCTCATCGATGTTTCTAACTCTCTATCCCTCTCTCTTCCTCTCTGTAAAAAAAAAAATCAATAAAATATATTTAAAAAATAAAGTAATTTAAAGATTTGGAGGTAAAAAGTAAATTAGTACATAATTTTAAAATCAATTTATAATTAAAAGCATGAATATATTCATCCTGGAGCAGAAAAAAAAAGTCACATGAGTTTAAAAAAAAATAGTTTTCAAAGAAATTTCCAACACGCGTCTCTAAACCCCTTGGTATTCAGTCCCCTAAACATCAATGGAAAAACTTAAGAGGCATGGATATACTATTCAAAACAACTCTCTGGGGTTGAAGAGTAAAATATCCCTTTAGGTGTTTTCAGTTTCTGGTGATTACAAATGAAGCCATTATAAACATTTGCATTGTATGAAAGTTGTATTCACTTAGCATCTTCAATTTCATTAACACTCGTATAGTGTTTTTCCTCCATTCTAAAGCTATGAGGTAGTATCTCATTGCGGTTTTTATTTGCATTTCTCTAATGACCAATGATGTGGAGCATCTTTTCATGTGGCTTATTTGTATATCTTTTCTGGTGAAGTGTCTGTTCTAATGTTTCCCCCCCCTGAAAAATAAGAAATTATTTTTCTTATCATTAGTGAGCCTTGAGAATTCTGTATATGTTCTGAATAAAACCTCTTTATTAAGTGTTTTGCTAAAAGGCCCCCAACTGCCAGGTTTGTATTTGAATATGTTTGTATTTGTATTCAAACAACTGTTGAACTATTTTAAATCCACACTTTTAACAAGTGATGTGCATTAACTCACAATCTTTCTGACGAATGTTTTTTCTCTACCTCTAAAACGAGGATGATTTCATTTACTGTCAAAATCTAAAATACCTGCCTTCAAGCTCTAACAAGGTATTCTATATAAGACTGAACTAACCTAAAATGTAGCAGAAACTTTGATTCCTGTTAGGATATTAAGTAAGCAGAGAAACAAGCGACCCAGGAGTAAATAAGAAAACAGTCTCCAAATGACATTTCTTTCTAAATGAGGTTAAAACAAAAACTGAACCGGCAACACAGTAAGGAATGACTTTAAAAAAGCTATTTAACGTTCCTTCCCAGAAGCCGTACCTTGAGAAAAAGGTACTCTATAAAAAGGCAGATGTTTTAGATTTTGAAAGCGGTGCATGCAAACACGCGTCTTAATCCACATTTTGCCACCTGCAAAAAATCTGATTTGCAAAAAAAAAAAAAAAGTGATGCGGAACATGTCAAAATAGCAAAATGTAAGTCTGTTGACAGTTTTGACGGTGCTCTCTGCAGTAGAGCATGTTACCTATCAAATATGGCCTTTTTTTTTTTTTTTTAACCACCTTTCCTAATGATCCCCTGTGGTTAATCTACCTTGAACGCTGCTCCAACTGAGCAGTTAGCAGCTACCAATTTGCAACCTCTGAAGCAGTTGTAACTGCTACGAGTGCTTTCGGTGCAGCTCCCCCTCCTCCCGTCTCTCCCGCTACCCCAACCCCAGAAGGAAGGCCACCTCCCCCCCGCGGGCCGCCGTGCAGATTTCTCCGGGCGAAGCTCCCAGCCCGCCCGGGTCTGGGGCTGCCTCCCGCGCCCATCGGCGGCTTCCCACGCTCCCAAAGCCCGCCGCACACCTGGGTCATCTCCATTTCCCTGTTCGGTCCCAAGCAGGCTCCGCTGACAACCCTGCTTCACCTGTCACACCCCTGCTCCTCCGTGACACTCACTTTCCTGCCACAGACGTTCGCTCCTCCCGGGGTTGGGGCGTCTGAGCGAACAGAGCTCCTACGGGTGCTTACACAGTAACGGCCGCCCCCAAGGGATGGTGGGGTTCGTCTCCGGTCCAAACTCCGCGCCTCCTGACCAGTGTCGGGGATGGCGGAGGGGGGTACCCCGAGGAGTGAGGGGCGGTGACCCAGACAAGGCAGCGGAGGGACGCCCCCACCCGCCGAGCCAGCCCAGCTCCCGGGAACACCACCCGCGAACCCGGGGGGCGGGGAAACGTGGGCTCGGGTCGCCGCTGCCAGACCCACCTCTCGGGAGAGTGCGGGAACTCCTCTCTCCTCCCGGCAGGCCCCGCGCGGCCCCCCCCCCCCGGCTGTCCCGCCTCCTCGCGCTCCGGGGTCTGTCACGGAAGCGCTCGCCCGCGGTGCCCCCCCCCCCAAACCGGCCCCTCCCCTCCCGGTCCCTCCCCGCTGTGCTCCCGGATCCGGCCCGACTCCCGCGAGTTCCCGGCCGGGCTCCCGGCGGCCCGCCCCTGGCCCCGCCCACCGTCGCGCGCGCTCCCCGAGCCCCGCCCCCTGCGCTCGCGTGCGCCCGCGCCAGCCAATGAGGAGCGGGGCCGCGTGCGCAGATTCAAACGGCGGCTCTGGAGGGAGGCTGGGCGCGAGATTCGGCCGAGGGGACAAAACCCTGCAGGAGGCAGCGAGCCTTTGCAGAGAGCTGCTCTCGCTGCGGGGAGCGGGGAGCGGCGCCCCCAAGGCGAGGAGGCTGAGAGGCGGAGGGCGGGAGGGGCCGGCGGAGGGCGGGAGCGCGCCTGCTGACATGTTGGGGGCATCCCTGACCGGGCTGGGCCGGGGGTAGGAGCGGCGGCGCTTGCAGACCCCGGGGGGCGGCTGCTGTGTGTGTCTTGTCCGCCCCTCCGTCCTGCCCCGGCCGGCCGGAGACGTGCGTTCCGCGGCGCGGCGGCCTGGGAGAGGGAGCCCGGGGAGTCGGCGGGCGGGAGGGTCAGGGGAAAAAGAAGCATTCGCCTGAGGCTGGAGGAGGCTGACCTGCGTCCCCGCCCAGCCCGCGCCTATGCGGTACTCGAAGGATGGCGAAGAGGTCGCGCAGGTGGGTGACATCCCTTTTCGCCCAGGTCTGTCGTCGCCGTCCCGCCCCAGATGCTCTCTCCTTCCCCCGCCAGGGCCTCCCCGGCCCGGGGCTCCCTCCCTTCCCTTCCCGCGGGCTCCGCCACGGCCGCCCGGGCCCGGCCGGCCCCCCAGCACCGGGCACCGCCGTGACGTGGGCAGAGGTGGGGACCAGTGTGTTTGGGAGCCAGAGAGTGGCTCCTTGGAGTGGGTTCTCCCCGTCATCTCTCACAGCCACTCCTTGGCGCAGAGTTTCCCACCAGGTAAGTTGCTTTTGCGGGGGGAAGACGCCGCTACGCAGAGAAAAGTGGCGGTGTTCTGCCGGGATGCCTTGGACGTGGTGTTCAGAGGCCCTTTTTTTTCTCCGAATCCCCGCCAGTTAAAATAGGAACTCGGTGGCCAACCTGGGCGGAGACCCCTCTGCCTGCCGCCCTTGCGACCCGAAAGGCTGGGGGAAATCTGCTGAGTGGCTGAGAGAGGAGGGACCTTGAGGATGCTTTCTGTCATTACCATACTCATGTTCTCAGTTCTATGTATATATAGTTAATATGCTCTGTATTAAATATATATACACAGAGAGAGAGATGTCACACTAAATACTACCAGAAGCTTGATCTTAAAAAAATAAAACAATGTGTTGGATTCACTTAATATTTTGAGTGTCCATGTTTGGCTCTGACCGTGTATCTTAAGTTTGTACAGAGGTAAGGCACATTAAAAAAAATTGCTAGGAGGAATATATATATATGTTAGCTACTGCTAAGTTGTGTGAATAAATCACTTAAAAGAAAAAAAACCCCACACAAAACACTAGGTTGTTTTTTCATTGTGATATTAATAAACCTGAAAAGATGTTTGGCACCATTTCCGAATGGCTTTATTTCTAAATCCCCAACCTCAAAAGTCTTAACTAGTGATGTATTTCTTAAGTTGAAATTTAGTATCAGGATTCATTCAGTGTAGATTTCTGTTATAAGTTGGTCATTATCCAAGTAACATTTGTTGCTATATTCATTTGTAAGGCACCTGCTGTATGTAAGATGTTTTTGCAAAAAGCAGCATAAAATATAAGTCCTTGTTAGCGTATTAGTTTGTAGCAGCTACAGTGTAGGTCAAACTTTTGAGGTGGAACAAATGTATACACACACATATAAACCCACATTTCTAGAACAAGGTTTTCAGCCTTGGCACTATTGATATATCAGATAATTCTTTGGGTGTTGGGGGGCCGACTTAGCTTTGTAGGATTTTTAGCAACATCCCTGGCTCAAAAACACTAGGTACCAGTAACACCCACTTTCTCCAGCCCTGAAAAATCAAAAATCTCCAGACATTACCAAATGTCTATTGGTGGGCAGAATCACCCAGGTGAGAATCACTGCTCTGGAATGTCAAGGACCCCATTAACCTCTTAAATTTCAGAAAAGATAGATATTAAAAGTTCCTGTAATTATAATTACTGAGGTACTGGGTTAGGCCCTTTCTTTTGAATATACAGCTATTTTAAACTAAAATAAAAATAACAGTTAAGCAAGTGGCAAGTGCTGTAATGTGTGGCATTACTTATCAGTACTGATGTTGATTTTATTCAAAATAGTTTCTTGGCTAATGCTGTCACCAGCATTTAGTTAAGGTTAGACATGGATGCTTGAATATCAGCACCCTGCCTTCTCCAATTGGTTTTCTGTTTGCTTCATACTTTGTGCATGCTTCATAATAAAGGACTAAGAAAGAAGAAATTAATCATTAATTTGCCTGTATAAGTTTTCTTTCATTGACAATACTGTGAACTTTGAGATCTAAACATTAATTGTACTGTTGACTTTTATTCCTTGTTTGCTGTATGAATTAATTAAAATGTATATTATAGAATGATTTAAGGAGTCATAAGTCTGGAGTAATTAAATATAGTGAAGTGAAGTTGCACACCCTATGGGAGTATTCAGGTAGAGGATGTGAGAAATTATCACCTCTGGATAGTGTATTTTCTTAGGGTCTTCATACTTGAATGTTTAGTATTCTAAACCATATTTCTTGTATATGGAAATGTGACTTACTCATTTTAGAAGACAATAGACCATGAAATATTTGAAGGAATAATAATAATAATTGGGCAAAGTCTAATGTCTTTTGACTAAATATCTTAATATTAAATATTAATCTATTTTATAATTGAAAGAGAAAGGAAATGTAGTCACTTTACGGTCTCCACTAGACCATCATGTAAATATTTCAGTGAAAAGTATACTTTGCTGTATAAAAATTTTGCATAAGACTATATATAGGCATAAATCCTGTAATACATTTTTTTCCGTATGATCTTGAAAAAAAAAAAAAGTAAAACGCTGTTACCTCAGGTGTGAAACAGCTGAAGGATGTTAGCTCTTTTTGATCTTTAAAATAGCTATATCTATATATACATAAGAGAAAAGGCTCATTTATTGCTGTGACTTCAAATAGTTTTAGATCCTACTGCAGGTTTTAATGACAACTTGTAGGCAGTACTAAAGTTGGCATATCTGTTATTAACATGTTTTTTTATTTTTAAACACATTTATGTATTAAGTAATTAATTTTAGTTTTTAAAGCCAGGTCTACCCTTAAGTATAAACTTAAAAAATGTCATTTAGAAGCCAAAAGGCCTGTTTACACTTGAGATGGCCTGTGATTACACTAAACTGAAAGGATAAAAGCCAACTCTTGAATTGGAAGATGTTTTCAGTTGGGTACACGTGTGTGTAGGAAGCTATTTTACTATGTCGTCTCCATCAAAATGGGTGTTTTGGGTGAAAGAATACTGAAATATGAAAAACGATTTAAAAAATCAGTGTTGTCATTAACTAGCAATTTTTTTGGGTGGGGGGAGGAGAGAAAGCAAATAAACTCTGTATCCCAGTTGTTCATTTGTTATTATAAGGGATTTGACTCTTATGGTATGTAAGGTAACTTCCAATTTAATATATATCCTATTTTGAACCCTTTTGTAATAATCTTTTCTTGTTTAAAAATATATACCCACTAATGGAATAAAATAGAAATACACTCACATTGGGGTTTTTTTATGAATAGTTAGGAGAGTTCTCGTAAGTATTTACTTCACTGTTGCTACTAATAAAGGTCAAATAAAGTCAAATTTGTTTGCTATAGTGATGCTAGTTAGTCAAGATTTTTTTGGGAAAATATTCATGTATGCAGTACATCATATTTACCACTGGGTGGCCTGATTTCACTACATTAAATTAACCTGGTAAATTTTCATACTTGGAATTCAATTGGGCTATAAAAAATACACTGTTATTCTGTCAAAGCAGTTTAGTAAAGATGTATTTTGTTACATAAAATTTTGTAAAACTATTGATATTTATCCAATTTCAAACCAGTATTTTGTTTTCAAATAAAAATAAAATTTTTTAAATTTCTCAAAATTTTTCTTTGGCAGCCTCATTTTACTCTCTTTAGGTGGTATAATTGGTGGTGTAAAAATTGAACTTCTCCGGGATGTTTTATCTAGTGTTGTCAAGTATGAGTAATAGTTTGTGTATTATTTCATAAATGACTGTCACATCATATTAGCTTACACCCCAGTGTGAAGTTACTGTTAACCATCTTCCTTGCTTAATGAGTCATAGTATTATTTTTGTGTGTGTGTGTGTGTGTGCTTCATTTTGCTGTTTCATAATTACCCTGATCACTGTGTTCATTCATAATTGACAAAACCTTTTCCATTTGAATATAATACTCAGATAATGTATTAACAGTTATGACATAAATTTTTTCTTTAACTCAAACACTAAAACTGTCAGAATGATTTTGGAAACCCTGGCCTGGATGAAAATTCTGAGACCAAATTCCTCTTCTATTTTTGCTTTGTGATGGTAGAAATAATTTCACCTTTTTTTTTTTTTTTTTTTTTGCTGTCTTCTAGATTAGTCATCCTAGGCTATAATTGGTTTATTTATCTACACAGTAGGAAGTTGAATATATTTAGTACATCTTACCAGCATTGATTGCTATAATATAGAAATGTTAAATGATGTTATAAAAATCAGAAAAATAGAGCAGAGTAGTAAGCAATGGAACTTATTTTTTCATTGTTAAATGGTGAAATTTGAATATTGGTGAGGTTTCTTGTGGGGCTTTATCCTTTCCCTTTTATTCTTGGCAATCTTAGCATTGTCAGCCATCTTTCTGTTGTGATATTAATAAGTTTCTAGGATATTTTTCTGTCATATTTCTTATTTAAAAGTTACACAATCTTTTCAACAATAATTTCAATAATACAGAAATAACTTCATGCTAAAACTAAGAAGTAGCTAGGGAAGTCCCAGTGGTAGGGAGATGACTCTAAGAATTCTAGTATAATGCTCTCTCACATTCACCCACTCAAAAACCCAGCTTCCTGAACACTGAATGAGTTACACAACTTGGCCTGAAAACTGATGACCACACTGATGCAAAACAGAGAATGAAACCCTGGGTAGAAATAGAAATTAATCACAGACCACGTATGTGATTAAAAATAAGGGAGAATTTGAAAGTTTAAAAATGAACAAGTTTTCAGGAAAATTACTCTTTGGACCCAAGTTAATATTTTGGACTCATACCCTTAAAATATTTTGATAAGAACCTTAGGTGGATTTCATACATATTAGATAGGATGTATAATAGATGTGACTAAAGATTTGTATGGGCAACTCCCCATGTTGAAAGTTGTTTTGAGTTATAAATAACCTAATTTTTAAAATGCTGTTGTGGCAGCTGTTGGGGTCTGAGGGAGGGAAGAAGAGGGAAACCCGTGAAAGGCACACCTGAGGGCTGTTTGGGTGGCAGGAAGTGGTAATATTGCTGGGGACAGTTCTAGGAAAGATTTGGCAACATCAGTAGACACCCCAAAGAAACCCTTCTGTACTGAATATATATTTTTTTCATATTTGTTTTAGCAGGTTCTGTTTTTTATGTTCTACCACTTGGAGGTAAATTTGGATTTTGGACGTCCTTTTTAACAAATGGGAATGCCCTTCACCTCCTAGAGGTATTTTCATTTGTTAAAAGTTTTCTTCATATCCACTTGTGAGGTCATTTTAGAATCCAGAGACTTGGAAGAGGTGAAAGAGTAAGGAAGCTCATTCATTAATTTTACACATACATATTTGAATGGCAGGTACTGTACTTGGTGCTGAGAGATGAAAATATTAGATGTGAGTACGTACAATTTGGATAGAAAACTTCAGTATGGTGTTATCTGGGCCTCTAGTATGTATATATACTTCTATATTTCTCATGTATTTCTTAAGTGCCTTGAATCAGCTAGTCCAGAACTTATTACTCTCCCCATTCCCTTCTTCCTCTCAAAGTTCAGCTTTCCTTCTCTAGTCCTTATCTCAGTGAATAGTTCTATTTATGCTCCCAAAGCCAGAGTTTTGGAGTCCTCCTTGATCCCTCCTTTTCCCATGTTTCTCATACCTAGTAGTTGTAAAATCTTTTTGTTTCTACTTGTTAAATATCTGTTTCATGTACTTTTCCCCATGATCATTGTCATTACTTTAGTCAGTTTGTTCTTTAATGGTTTCTTGATTTTTGTCACATTTAAATCTCAATAATATAAAAAGTAGAATTCTACCCTATTATAGTACTATTATGGTTTCATTTAAAAAATGTAAAGTATTTGCTTCATCTGAATGTTTTATTTTAAAGTAGGACTTGATCTTTATTTTTTTTAAATAGCTACCCAGTGTCTTACCATTTATTAAAAAGTCCTCTTTACCCTACTAATTTAATATGTTGTTGTTATAATTTACCAAATTCCCAAATGGTTTTTTTCCCCTGAATGTTCTATTTTCTTGCAGTGACCTGTGTATCTGCTTATGTTCCATTGCCATTCTGTTTTATTTATTGTTTCCCTACAGTATATTGGGAGAATGGACATCTAGAATACCGTTTTCCTGTCCAAGAATGTGGTCTGGATGTTTTTCCATTAGTTCAAGGCTTTTGGGTCTCACAATAGTGTTTTCTTATTTACTATACTTTGCTCTTGTACATTCAAGTTATTTCTACATATTTTAACTTTTGTTGTATTACTAATGGATTATTTCTTTCATTGTGTTAGCTGGCTGTGTGTTGTATTTTACCATTATCATTGTCAGGCCCTAATAATAATTTACTATAAAAGATTACTAAAGATCTTTCTTTCTTCATTTCTCCATATTTCTGATAGTGGTTTTTCTTTCCCTTCTTAAAGTCCTTTAACTTTTTAGGATAAAGGTCAAATGGAGAATAAAGGTCAAATCCCTTAGGATGACATAAAGGTTACCACTTGGACCCTTGTGGCATATCTACCCTTATCTCTGGTTGTAAGAACTATAGCTCCTTCTCTAGTGTATGTCAAGTTTATTTTTAGTACTTTGAATAATCTTATTGGATATATGCCTTTTAGTTTGAATAGCTTCTATGACTGAATTTACAAATTTAAATAAAATTTTCATTTCACAATTGTGTTTTTATAAGTGAGGATGAGGATGATGACCTTCAGTATGCTGATCATGATTATGAAGTACCCCAACAAAAAGGATTAAAGAAACTCTGGAACAGAGTAAAATGGACAAGAGATGAGGTGATTATCTGATAAAGTTTACTAATTTCATATCTGTATTTATTCTGTTATAGATATGAAAACTATTTTAAAATAAAACATGAAAAAAGTTATCCGTCAACTAATTTGCACATTATTTTTCTTCAGCCAGAGACATATTCATGGATTGATATTGAGACAGAAACAGTAGAGTAAATGGGAAAACTTATAGTGGATTTAGTCCTAAAATGGCTACCAAATATGACATGAAACAATCAGAAAATTATCTGTGTTAAGGGATAGAGGAATAGGGTGGGAAAGCTTTCTAAAGTTCATACCTATTTTAATAGGATGATAAGCTAAAGAAGTTGGTTGAGCAACATGGAACTGACGATTGGACTCTAATTGCTAGTCATCTTCAGGTAAGTGAAACATTTTATTTCTCTATATAATGGATGATTTGGGCAATTGAGTTAAATTTGCTGTTTTTAAAAATGTGTCTATTATTTTAAATTCAGGTTTTCTTTCTAAAAACATCTCCCATACTGGTCCTCCTATAGTTGCCAGTAGTTTAGAAAGTCTGATTTTCTAGTAATTAGTTTATCCACAGGGCCTAAAAAGATTACTAATCTAAAACAAAAATGACACTAAGTTTGGATAGGGCTTTATAAATATTTGCTGATAAGTATTAAAACATTTTGAAAGAAGTTAAATATATTGAAATACTTGATAATTAATAAAAATCAGAAAAGTCTGTTGAATAGTTTTTCATAAAATGCTTACAGTATTTGTTTTATAGCTTTACTACTTGCTGTTTTACAAGGCACAGTGTAGAGACAAATACTTTAATTTTAAGTATATATTTATATTGTTTTTGTTTGTAGTCTAAGCCCTGCCACTACTTTAATTAAAAAAAATTGGGACACAGGCATGTAAAAGAAACTTTACATATTTAAGATTCCTGTTAAATACATTATTCTTGAAGACTTTGTTTTTAAGGTTGTGAGATATAAGTTTGGACTGACTAGTTTCTGGAAGAAAGCTGTCCAGTAACAAATCATCTAAATTTTTTCAGAATCGTTCTGATTTTCAGTGCCAGCATCGATGGCAGAAAGTTTTAAATCCAGAATTGATAAAGGGTCCTTGGACTAAAGAAGAAGATCAGAGGGTAATGTGTTCATGTTCTTTTTTTTTTTTTGTCCTTCCACTGTAAAAATGGATTAGCTTTTTTTCTTCCTAGTACATTGTTTTTGACACATAAAATCTATATTTAAGTCACTTTGGTTTTGTTCTCTGGGTGCTGCTTGCATGAGAATTGTAAGTTGTGTCTTTTTTTGTTATTGTGTTAATCCTCACCTGAGGATATTTTTTCCATGGATATTTAGAGAGAGTGGGGAAGGAAGGGAGGAAAGAGAAGAAAGAGACAGCAATGTGAGAGAGACACATTGATTGGTTGCTTCCTGCATGTACCCTGACTGGACCAGGGATTGAACCTGCAACCACGTATGTGCCTTTGACATGAATGTAGTTTTTAATGAATTGAGTCAAAGTATAGTATTTTCTTTCAGAGAGGTTGCTTTATGGAAGTAAAATATACTATCATTTTAGCACCTTGTTTAGAGCTTAGGTTAGTAACATTTAGGGTATAGTTTCTTTGGAAAATTGAGTTAACATTTTAAAAACAATTTTATCTTATTTGATAGCATTGTATATAATTTAATATACATTCTCAGTTTTTCCTTCTGACCTATAATGTCACTAAATAAGATAGATTTCAAAGCATCATGTTTCCAGAGGGTTGGATGATTAAAAAACCAAGATAATTCTTGTATTATAAAAGAGAAGAATGGGAGAGTTTCTGTTCTCCACTTGGAATTACCCTTTAGCTCATGTCCTTTATGGCATAAAAATTGTTAATGTAGTTGAATAATTAGAATATTCTTACTGCCACACACTAAAAAAGTTAGTACTTCATTAAGCTCAGAACTGGTTTGATTTACTTGATAAGTTTTAAAATGTGAGATCTAGATCCTTTCTGATTGAGAAAGGAAGAAATGAAAAGACAGTAACTGTAGATACATCCTACTTACAAACTGATTTATTAGGCTATTACAGCTACTTTAAATTATTTATATGAAAACAATTTAACTTACTTACAAGTCACTTTAATTAGTACCTTGTATTTTAGATAAGCTTGGGATCAGTCTTTGAACTTAGCAAATACTGAAGCAGTATTTATTGACAAAAAAATTTTTTTAAGTTGTAATTGTGACTTGGGTTTAATGCATTTAAAAAAAAAGTATTTGTGAGTTATGTTTTTAAAATTCAAGATAATGGTTTTTTAAACTTTGTTTTTCTATTTTTTAGGTTATTGAATTAGTTCAGAAATATGGCCCAAAAAGATGGTCTTTGATTGCAAAACATTTAAAAGGAAGAATAGGCAAGCAGTGTAGAGAACGATGGCATAATCATCTGAATCCCGAGGTAAAGAAATCTTCCTGGACAGAAGAGGAGGACAGGATCATTTATGAAGCACATAAGCGGTTGGGAAATCGTTGGGCAGAAATTGCCAAACTACTTCCTGGAAGGTGCTTATATAAATGTATATACATTTTTCTGTACTTAAATTTGATCTTTATAATGATACTATTAAATATATTTGCAAGTACCCCATGACTTTTTTATTTATTTATAATTAAAATTTAGACTGTATAATACAAGCAACTGTTTGGGACTATTTGTAATATATCTGTATTTTATTACTTTTAATTGAATAATTAAAAGTAATAATTACTTTTAATGAAGTATTTTATAGCAATTTTTTGCCAAACAAAAATAAGAGATAGACCTTTGGATTATGAACAGTTACTGCACTCCTCCCCCCAAATTATGTTTATATATCAATGCCAGTGAGGCAGATCTTTGTATAAACTTGGTTGGAACGGAGTCTAAATCAAAGAGGTTTCTTTTATATTGGATTCTATGCATAAGCCCAGAAAATGACAAATAATACTAACTGAAATAAACTGCTATTAAAGTACATTAGAGAAAACTCAATTCTTAATTATGATATGATTCAAATCATAGAAGTATACAGGGATAGGCAAAAGGAGGTTTACAGTTCATATGGAAAAAGACATACCGATTATGATTTAATTTTATTATTTTTAATTCACCTGAGAATATGTTTTTATTGGTTGTTTTTAGAGAGAGAAAGTGGGAGGAGAGAAACATCAGTGAGAGAGAGAAACATCCATCGATTGCCTTCCATACTGGGGATTGAACCCATAACTTTTTGGAATATGGGATGATGCTCCAACCAACCTAGCCACACAGCCAGGGCCAAGTTATGATTATTACAATAGCTTTATAATTCAAAAGAATGGCATAATGGCACACTGCACTTAGGTACAATCTCGGAAGTGCTCAAATTGCCCACATTCTTGAAGTCTACTTGGTACACTCTGTGTTTTGAGTACTCAGAACTGTAGACCTCCTTTTGTCCACCCCTCTATATCCATGTGGCTCAGATGTAGAATTTCCCTCAGTGGCAGGGTTGTAGTATGTACACTATACGGTGCACTGCTTCAAATGTTTCCTAATAGTACAATGACCAACAACCTTGGGAAAATTCATACCTCACTTAGAAGATATGCATTCATTTTTTTTTATTGAAATCTCTATATAATACTTCATTGTTTATAAAATGCTTATACATATATTCTTAATCTTCATATATTTGTGAAATAGAGTAAACAATGCTGTTCCATGGATAAGAAAATTAAAGCCCAATGTTAAGGTTCTTTTCAAGTTATTGAATCTGGCCTAGGAACTTAAAAAAAAAAAAATGTATATATATATATATATATATATATATATATATATATGTGTGTGTGTGTGTGTGTGTGTGTGTGTGTGTATATATTATTGATTTTTTTACAGAGTGGAAGAGAGAGGGATAGAGAGTTAGAAACATCGATGAGAGAGAAACATTATCAGCTGCCTCCTGCATACTCCCTTCTGGGGATGTGCCCGCAACCAAGGTACATGTCCTCGAACCTGGGACCTTTCAGTCCGCAGGCTGACGCTCTATCCACTGATCCAAACCAGTTTCGGTTGGCCTAGGAACTTCTGATGTTTTTAACCTCTTACATCTTTTTACTGTCCATAGAACATAGCCTAGTACCTTGACATAAATTAGGTTCTCAGTAAATGTAGATTTTATGAAAGATGAAATTTACACTACAAGTAGGTTGAAGATTTATATTTATATAAAGAAACTTAGGTAAAAATGGAACCCATGAACTTTCTTCTATAAGTATTTTGTTCTAAGAAGTGGAAAAGTATTCTGGGATTTTGTAACTTGTGGTTGCTTTTCACAATCATGTTTGTTCTTGCTTTAAGGTCTTTGTCCTTGCTATGCCCTTAATCTGGAATGCTCTTTTTTTCTATTCTTGTATGGCTGGTCCATTCTTGTCATTCAGATCTTGGCTTCACTGTCACCTCTCAGAGGTCCTCTTAGACCACCTAATCAAAATTACCATTTGTTAAATCCTCACCCAAGGATATTTCCCATTGATTTTTAGAGAGAGGGAGAGACAGAGAAAGAAAAACATGGATGAGACACATTGATTGTAATTTTTCTTTAATGATCTACATTGCATAGATCATTTTCTTTAATGATCTACATTAATTTTTGTTTTTCTGTTCTTTCCTACTTTCCTTCTGCTGCATTTCCAATGAGAATGTAAATTCCATGAAAGAGGGACTTTCTTTGCCTTATTTGCTGATATATCTCCAGTGCTTAGAATGTGCCTGACATATAAACATACAGTTTATCTTTTTAATTAAAGAAGTAATTTAACATAAATGTTGTAAAATGCACGTTGTACATTTTATACAGTTTTAAAATTTGTGGAATCCTCTTTTTCTTTTAAAATTATACACTTTCATTTTATAGGACTGATAACTCTATTAAAAACCATTGGAATTCTACTATGCGAAGAAAAGTGGAACAAGAGGGCTATTTACAAGATGGAATAAAATTAGAACGATCTTCATCTAAACTTCAACACAAACCTTGTGCGACAATGGACCATTTGCAAACCCAGAATCAATTTTACATACCTGTTCAGGCACATATTTTTAATACTTTTATTATTTAAAAAAATGTTTAGTTGCTATATGGGAAGATATTGGTTTTATGAATAGGACAAATACAACATATAAAGGAGAAAAGATATTTGAATTTCCAAGCTGAAAAAATACTCCATAAGTTAAAAAATTAGTGAAGGCTTATCTCTACATTCCTGATTGATAAATATTTTAGGGACAAAGTCATTAAAATATTTCCTTTTATATGTAATGTTTACATTATTTAGTTTAATAATTTAGTGTATACGTTTCCTAATATCATTCTTTGAATCTTTATGATTCAAAGCTAATTGTTGTGCTTTAATATCTAAAATTTTTTGTTTAATTATAGTATTCCTTTTCTCTAAGATGTAAGTGCATATAAAATTATTTAAAGGAGAAAATAGTAAAATATCATTCAAGCCATCATTTTGGAGGGTGTAGTAAATAATTTTCTCTTTGATGGCATTTCACTTTGCTTCCCCCCAACTAACCAACCAGTTGAGTAACTTCAGTCTTCATTTTAAAAAGTTCACTAGAGGAGAGATTATCCAAGTTCATAATGGGGCAAGCTCTATTTTCCTTAGAGTGCATTTTCCAAGCTGTAAGAAATTTGTTTAATAGGAGTTTTAATAAGATTTGTTTTACATTTCCCTATCTAGCTATTTGTCTTGCCATTTTTCATGTAGAGCAATTCTTGGATCTTTTTATAATGTAAAAGTGAAGTTGACTAATTATCTTCCAAAAGACAAAATTTGTGTTAAAAATGTATGTTTAGAATTGATTTTATTCTGTTAAATGGACATTTTTAAAGACATAATTTTAAAAGTAAAGTAATCTTAATTTACAAATAGACATGTGAAGACAGTTATCTGCTGATACTCAATACCTTAAGATTTTTACATTTTTCTTTAGAGTCCTAGATTTCAGCAGTATATACAAATGGAAATGTTCTATTTCTATCTTAGAAAGATTATTTAAGTTTATTTTTTTAACTCATAGAAATTTATCCTTTTGACTCATTTTAAAAATTATTTGGGGTAAGGGAATGCTTAATAATCTCAATAAAATATATTGGAAAGATAAGGATATTTCTTGTACTTTAAGAATTGTTTCCTTTAAATAATTATTGAAAGATGTATACGTAGTTCATTTAAACTACTAAAAGTTAATTTTAATTTTTACTTTAAAAATGCACTGATTTGAAATACTGTCACAGATTTTAATGAAAAATTAGAGAAAGATACCTTTCTAATCCATTGGAGTTACCAATGGGATTGAGTGATAACTGATGCTAATCAAGTATTGTGAAAATTAAGTTTAATGTTAAAAGTAATGTATAATGATTCTGCATGAGATGGTGATTTAGATAGGCCATTGTGGGAAATACACAATATCATATTTAGACTTATTAGATATTAAGGTTTTAAAAAACACCTTTGCATATTTCCTTCCACCACTGCACATTAAATTTGTATGCAACTTTAAAATTCTATTTACAGATGCTTTAGAAAAGAAGCAGGATAATTCTTAATCTATTATCAGAATATTCAAAAGTACATGAATGATTTTGACTTTTTTTTCTAAGACAAGCAGTAGAAGAAGCCTCTTTTCATCTTTCTACCTAGAGGCTGCCACGGGGTGGAAGTAGGAGTAGGAAATATGAAAGTGGAAAAATTTGCTTTAGTTTCCATCTCTATGAGTGCTTCATAAGGATTAACTCCTTCCTGTGAAAGATAGGAACACAATTACTTTGTCTTCTCCAGAAAATAGAGGAATCCTAATAACAGACTTAAAAAATATTTGGTGGATATTATATTCAATAGAGTGATTGACTGATAAATCTAGGCCAAGTAATTCTCACATTTCATCTAGAACATAGATCTTTCCTAAGTGTTAATACTTTTTATTGGTAAACCCTTAAGGACAGAGTGGTAGTTACTAGATAAGAAACTATTGTTGGTATGAACATTCAAAGTTAACAAATACTTTCTGAGTTTTTAATGTAGCTATTTTGTCAAGAGTTTTTGTGCTTTGTCTCAGATTTTAAAGTATTAATGATTTAATTACTTCTTAGATCCCGGGCTATCAGTATGTGTCACCTGAAGGCAATTGTATAGAACATGTTCAGACTTCTGCCTTTATTCAGGTAACTTTTAAAAAAATATATATATTTTATTGATTTTTTTTTTTACAGAGAGGGAGAGAGAGTAGAAACATGGATAAGAGAGAAACATCGATTAGCTGCTTCCTGCACACCTCGTACTGGGGATGTGCCTGCAACAAGGTACATGCCCTTGACCAGAATCGAACCTGGGACCTTTTAGTCCACAGGCCACTGAGCCAAACCAGGTAGGGCTCAGGTAACTTTTTATTTATAATAAAACAAAGGAAATGCAAACATATTATTAAAAGTCTAATAGTGCTTGTTTCCTCCTCCATAAAATTAGGACAAAAACAATACGAGCTGTCCTATTTGCTTTGAGTATTATAACATTAAAGGAGAAAGTTTGTTAAATGGGTTTGAGAAACAAATTGTACAAATGTAAAGTGATTGTCAACACCAGTAAGATGATTCTTTTATTTTCCAACTTAATGCATTCAGGTTGTGAATGGACATATTTTTGCTAAACTGGTTAAAAATATGTACTAAGAGTCAATAAATTTAAAACATATATTTCTAAATTGATATAGATGATGCAGTATACATGTTTTATGCATTTAAATTTTCCAAATCTTTTCTGTTAAGTTGTAAATATTTACCATCAACCTCTTTAGATACAGAGGGATTATGATACTGGGTATTTGGGATTTAGTAGTATTCAGCTTTAGAGAAAATAGATTTTGCGTTGTGTAGAAGAAAATAAAAATTAAAACACTAATAATATAATAAAGAAATTATGTAAGTAGTCTATTTTCTCTTATTTAACTTATTTTAGCAACCCTTTGTTGATGAAGATCCTGATAAGGAAAAAAAAATAAAGGAACTTGAGTTGCTTCTTATGTCAGCTGAGAATGAAGTTAGAAGAAAGCGAGTTCCATCGGTAAGAAATTAGGTTAAGTATTTAGATTTTATTGTTAGAATCTTTTATATGCTTTTATAGTTCTCATCAACATTGACTTTCATATGTCATAAAGTGGAACGCATATTCAGTATGACTTTAGATGTTAATATAGACTAAGAATAGTTTAACTTGTTCCTTTGAGATTGCCTGATTTTGATATACATCTCTTGGAGCTATTTTACAATGTTCACTAGGTACTTCTTGAGTCATAAATGTCAAGCAGACTTAAGGTATGATTTTTGATATGTATATTTGTGAAAATGATGTGTAGTTTAGATTAGGCTTTGGTTTTATTTTAGGCATCCCATGTAATTAAGGCCTTCATAAAAAGACAAATAAAACTTGAAAAATAATTAGATGTATAGAGATTTATGCACTCCAAAATTGCTTTTATTCTCTCTTTGAATTTTTTCCCTATTTACTATATTTCCAATTGAATTCAGTAAATTGGAAAAATTAATAACATTAAAATATGGAAAAAAGGAACATTGACTTTATACTCTCTAAAAAATTTTTTTTTATATATTTTATTGATTTTGTACAGAGAGGAAGTGAGAGAGATAGAGAGTCAGAAACATCGATGAGAGTCATTGATCAGCTACCTCTTGCACACCCCCTACTGGGGACATGCCCTTAACCAGAATCGAACCCGGGACCCTTCAGTCTCAAGCCGATGCTCTATCCATTGAGCCAAACCGGTTTCAGCTCTCTAAAAAAATTTTGATATAGATGTAGGGTTTTGGTTATCAGGGTACCATGACTACCATTTTACTGAGGAACCATTATAGATGTGTAGCATGAATGTTTGGTAATCCTATATTAACTCCTTGAAGTAGGTAGTTTATTGTTATGGGTTCAGAGTCAGATGTGTATGTTTGTAACCTATGGTTTTTCCAGTGGGCCAGCGATCTCCCTTTTTGAATTTTTTCCCCATCTACAAACCCAATTGAAATGCATATGGTTTCAAAGTTCTCTTCAGAAAGTGACTGTAAACTCTATGATAATGAAATAAAATTGCTTTAATTTCTTGTGCTCTTTTAGGAAACTTTAAAGCAAATGGAACTTGTTTAGCAACAGTGTTTTAACTTGAAGCTTAACTTTTGTTATTGTGATTCTAGCACATTCTAGCAATTTTTATTTTTAATAGTGATAGGTAACATTGGTTGAGTGCTTCCTATGGACTGGAGCAATGTGCTCTCTAAATTAATTTTAAATAAATTTAAAAATTCAGCTCCTTAGTTGCACTAACCGCATTTTGGTTGCCTATATGGCTTTCATACTGAGCAGCTTCAGATGAAGAACATTTTTATCACCTAAGAAAGTTTTATTGGACAGTGCAATACACTTTACATATTGTTTCTTTTCTCCTCCTACCCCCAGTATAATGAACATATAGCACTGTTTAAGGTGTACAACATAATGATTTGACCTATGTTGTGAAATGATTACCACTTAAGTTTAGTGTTAACAATTATCATCTAATGTAGGCACAAAAAAATGTTTTTTCCTTATGATTAGAACTCTTAGGTTCTACTCTCTTAACTTTCAAATTACATATTGTTTCTTTTTATTTTATTGATTTCCAAGAGGAAGAGAGAGAGAGAGAGAGAAACATCAATGATGAGAGAAAATCATTGATTCACTGACTCCTACATGTCTTCCCACCCTGCACTGGGGACCAAGCTCGAAACCTGGGCACGCATCCTTGACCCAAATCAAAGCTGAGACCCTTTAGTCTGCAGGCTGATGCTCTATCCACTGAGCCAAACCAGCTAGGGCTATATAATTGTTTCTTAATCATGACTTTTCAAAGTCTCTCTTTTTTAATGGAACACTAGGAAACTATGCTCAAAAGACAAGTAAGTTGTCTGGTGTACATCACTGGAGAGAGAAGGAAAATGACACTGTCCCTGACCTCAAAGGATTTACTTTGCAGTGGGAACAGAGGCAGGAAACAGTATATTGTGTGGAAAAATAGGTCACAAAGTTTTACAGGAGCACAAAGAAGAGGTGTCTAATTGAGAATCAGGTAGCCAGGGTTCCTGGAAGAAATTATATTTGAACTCAGACTTAAAAGATAGGCAGTATAGCCGAGACCGGTTTGGCTCAATGGATAGAGTGTCAGCTTCGGGACTGAAGAGACCCTAGTTCGATTCCAGTCAAGGGCATGTACCTTAGTTGCGGGCATATCCCCAGTAGGGGGTGTGCAAGAGGCAGCTGATCAATGACTCTCTCTCATCGATGTTTCTAATTCTCTATCTCTCTCCCTTCCTCTCTGTACAAAATCAATAAAATATATTAAAAAAAAAAAGATAGGCAGTATATTAGCAAAGTAAGTGAACTAAGTCAATATAAACTAGAGGCCCGATGGATACGTGCAAGAATGGGCCTTCCTTCCCCTGGCTGCCAGCACTGCCTTCGCACTGGCCAGAGCCGCCTTTCTGCCTTCCCAGGCTGCACAGAGGCCTGAGTCTCGCCCCGCCCCCAGCCACTTGGCACCTGCATATGCAAATTAACCCGCCACCCTTGTTGGGTTAATTTGAATACACACTCCTGATTGGCTGGTGGGCATCACGAAGGTATAGTCAATTTGTATCCTCTTTTATTAGTGTAGATGGAACAGTAGTGAAAGAGTAGTCAGGTGGAGTACTTTCCAATTTTTAAAAAAACATATTTTATTGATTTTTTACAGGGAGGAAGAGAGAGGGAAAGAGAGTTAGACACATCGATGAGGAAAAATCGTTAATTAGCTGCCTCTTGCACACCCCCTACTGGGGATGTGCCCACAACTAAAGTACATGTCCCTGACCGGAATCCAATCTGGGACCTTTCAGTCCGCAGGCCGACGCTCTATCCACTGAGCCAAACTGGTTTCGGCAACTTTCCAATGTTTTATCTTAAATGAGGAATATAAGTTTTCCCTGGTCAGTAGGTTGGTCAACATTCTAGGGAACAGCAGTTTGAGCAAAGGCACTCTGGGGTAAAAAACTAACTCAACAGGGAATCACAAGTACTATAATTGGGTATTCCCTGGGAGGGGGGAAGTATCTTTCCGGATATGAAGTTTGAAAGGTAGAGGCCAGATTCTAAGAGTTTGGACATGCTTGTTTTATCTCACTATGATTTTGTAAATTTAAAAATACATTTAGAAAAAATAAATAGAATTAAGGTATGAAGTTTAATGAAAATTTTTATTTTCAATTTTGAGGAAAGACAGTATATTTGCTACTATATTTCTAGCTGAAATGTGAAGTATGTTATTCTAGAAAATAACTTACTTAACATACAAATTTATGCTTAGGTTGAAATGACAAGTAACATTCACATTTTTTTTGTGTGCTTTTAGCAGCCTGGAAGCTTTTCTACCTGGTCTGGTAGTTTCCTCATAGATGATAGCACATCCAATACTCTGAACAGCCTCGAGGAGCACTCTAGTGAGATTTACAGTTTGGATGAAAATCAGACAATGGCTGCTCAGCAGAATTCACCCACAAAGTTCCTGGCCGTAGAGGCAAATGCTGTGCTGTCCTCTCTACAGACCATCCCAGAATTTGCAGAGACTCTAGAACTTATTGAATCTGTAAGTCTGAAATTGTGAGATTATCAAAAGCTCAATTTCAGTTACATAGTTTTGTTTAGAAACTCAGTTGAATGGACACTGACCAGTTTTATGTTAAGCATTACTTTGACATGCTTAATTTCGCTCTGATATTTTGCAGTGACTTCTGGAAAAAAAATATGTAAATCTTTCTTAACTATGTACCTTGTATATAATTTTTTAAAATTTAAAATTTAATAGTTTATTCTTTGTTAAATATATTAGAGATAGTTGGGAACCAGAGAAAACTATAAGGAAGAAAATTAAAATTTTCCATAAGCCAAGAGTTAATAATTTAAGGTATTTCCTTTCAGGCTGTGTTTTATACATATAAAACATAGATATTCATATATTTTTAAAGTCAAAGATTCACTTATATGTTATGCTTCTATATAACCCCCCACATTATATCATGAGCATGTCCCTGTTTTCTTAACTATTTTTTAAATTTTGAATTTTAATTGTTTCATAGTATTCTATCATATGTATGTAACAAAATTTATTTACGCAATATACTATTATTAAACATTTAGGTGGTGTTTAGTTTTTTAGTATTATGTAAAGCTTTGTGCAAAATTATGATTATATCTTAAGTTAAATTTCATTTTTGGATCAAAGTGTATGACTATTTTGAAGATGTTTCGTATACAATCCCAAATGATTATATAGAAATTGATAGTATTTTTCTGATGTGGAATAGAGTGTGAAATTTTATGATGAATTGTTTTCTAATAATGTACAGTAACTTGTTCCTTTTATTTAAAATACTTTGACATTTTAATTTGCCCAGCTACTGAATTAGATAGAATATTCCAAATTAGAGTCATAGTAAAACCATAATTTGTTCCTCTCAAATGCTTTTGCTTAAAAAAAGATGAACAAGGAAAGAAAAGCCTATTTCTACTGAGAAAAATGAGTAGCTAGTTAACTGTGGAAATTATCCCAAGTTCAAGATCAGATTTCACTAGGTTGCAACATAACTCAAAGAATTTGATTTATTGCAGGATCCTGTAGCGTGGAGTGATGTCACCAGCTTTGATCTTACTGGTGCCACTGCTTCTCCTGTCAAGTCCACTCCAGTTAAACTGATGCGAATTCAGCACAACGAAGGCGCCATGGAATGTCAGTTTAATGTCAGCCTTGTACTTGAAGGGAAAAAAAACAGTTGCAGTGGTGCAGAAAGTGAGGCGGTTCCTTTAACATCCCCAAATGTGGCCAAGTTTAGTACTCCACCAACCATTCTCAGAAAGAAGAGAAGAACGCGAATGGGTCAGTCCCCAGGCAGTGAACTTAGTGATGGCACGTTCAGCGATGGCAGTAATACAGCATTAAAACACACACCGGTGAAAACACTACCATTTTCTCCTTCTCAGGTAGCAATGTTTCTGTTTATCTTTTCAAATGTTGATGAGCTAGATTAAATTACATCTTTAGTATCTTGCTAGTGGTTCATTGCTTTGATATCAGATAAAAAATAGATAATGTACTTAAATGTATGCATGAGCATGCTAAGCTCTGATAAATTAGAAGGTATCTCACAAAGTATAGTAATGGCATTAGAATGTCTTAAAATTTTTAGAGTTAAAAGCAATGTTTTAGATGTAGTTCCACATCTTTAATAAGCCTCATCAGGAAATAGACCCAGAAAGGTAAAATGACTTGTCTACATTATCTATTGGCAGAGCTGAGACTGATATCAAGTATTCTGAGTAGCTATTCAACAGATATCAGGTATATGTAGCCATAGACAACTGCTCACTATGAGAATTTTATGTCAGAAGATTTTCTAAGGATGTCAGTAACTACTTACTTTTTCCTGTACTTTTTATGTGCCCCAGCAGCAGATACTTTTATCAGAGCAAACTGTATCTCTTTTTCTTAATGAACACTATGTTTTAGGCTATGTGCTAATGCACTTAAAAATATATATATATTGCCGGGACCGGTTTGACTCAGTGGATAGAGTGTTGGCTTGCGGACTGAAGGGTCCCGGGTTCGATTCCGGTCGGGGGCATGTACCTTGGTTGCGGGCACATCCCCGGTGGGAGGTGTGCAAGAGGCAGCTGGTTGATGTTTCTCTCTCATCGACGTTTATGGCTCTCTATCTCTCTCCCTTCATCTCTGTAGAATATCAATAAAATATATTTTTTAAAAAATAAAAAAATATTTATTTATTTATTTATTTATTTATTTATTTATTTATTTATTTATTTTTAGTCCTCACCTGAGGGTATTTTTTTCCATTGATTTTTTTAGGGCGAAGAGATTTTTAGAAGAGAGAAGGAAAGACAGAGAGAGAAACATGGATGTGAGAGAAACACATTGATGGGTTGCCTCCTAACCAAGGTATATATCCTTGACAGGAATCAAGCCTGGATCCTTTGGTCTGCAGGCCGAAAAGCTCTAATCACTGAGCCAAACTGGGTAGGGCCTAAATACATTTATTATAGCATTTCAGTTAATCTTCTTTCAAAAAACCTTAGGAGGTCAGTGGAATGAAATTCAGAAGTTAAGTTGTTCAGGTTAGTTAGTAAGAGAGAGCTGGTGTTTGGTGTCCTGACAGAGATTAAAACGTTTTATGGGAGAAGAAGGAAATTTAATGCTCAAATATACCTGGAGGGTGCTGAGATATTTATTATTGGAGGTGTTTTGATGTTGGGAAGATGAGGGGAGTCTGGCAGGACACAGTCACCATGTTTTCTGAAAATTGTGCCTTCTCCTCCTTTAGGGGGTGTCATTTACATAGATTGTAATGTGAATAGTGTGACCCTGACCCCAACCCCAGCCCAGCCCTCAAAATTACAAAGCTCCTAGAGGAAAATAAAACAGGCTTGGGCACACTAGTAATTTTTTGGTGGAGTGTAAATTCTAAAGTGGAAAGTGGCTGAGAAGGTGAGACATGATTATAAAGACCTCATATTCAATGGCAAAGAGCTTAAATTTTATTCTGTAATTGACTAGAGGCCCGGTGCATGAAAATTCATGCACTGGAGGCAGGGATCCCTCAGCCCAGCCTGCCTACTCTCACAGTCTGGGAGCCCTGAGGGCAGGAGGTGACCCAGTGATCAGGGGAAGGTGATGCCCCCATCACACCTTGCTGCTGCCACTGCTGGCAGTGCAAGCCTTGGGTGGCCCTGGGTGGCTGAGCAGCTGACTAACGAGGCTTGCCTATGCCTTGGGTGTTGGCTGTGCAGTTGACATCTGAGGCTTGCCTGCACCTCAGGCAGGCCCTGGGGGACTCCGGAGGCAGGGGTGAGAGCAGCTGGACCCACCTGAAGGCGGGTCTGACTGAGGGGACTGGGCACCACAATCTTGTGGCTGTGTGGCCACCATCTTTGTGAGGGTGTGATGGTCAATTAGCATATTTCCTCTTTATTAGATAAGATGGGCATTGCTGTAGGGTTTTAAGAGGGTTTGACTGCTAATTTTAGGGTTAAATATTTTTCAAATATTAGGATCCCAAAGTGATAGAGTTAAAATTCATCCTGTGTGGCAATTTCCACTTCTTTCTACCTCTATTTTTAATCTATTAGCTACAAAAATAAATTAGTACTTCACAGTTGTATGTAAGTTAAGATCCAGTGAGTAAAGTGTGTCATTTGGCGCTGAAGCTGGTTTGGCTCAGTGGTGGAGCGTCGGTCTGCGGACTGAAAGGTCCCAGGTTCGATTCCGGCCAAGGGCATGTACATTGGTTGTGGCCACATCCCCGATAGGGGGTGCGCAGGAGGCAGCTGGTTGATGTTTCTCTCATCGATGTTTCTAGCTCTCTATCTCTCTCCTTTCCTCTCTGTAAAAAATCAATAAAATAAAAAAAATAAAAAAAAAAAGTGTGTCATTTGGAAAATAGACTGTGTGATACCAGTTTTGGCTGCTTGGAGGTTCTGAGCTGTGTGGTAAATAGTAAATTTGCCCGACAGTGTATTTCTCATCAGCAAAGCATTATTCTGAATTCAAAGTATTCTCACAGAAAAGGACACTTAAGATCACTTATTAATAAATGAGTAAAACTTCTTTTCAGTTACACTGTTGTGCAAAGCTGTTCCATTTAACACAACAGCTGTTTCTGGTTTCTGGATTTCTATTTGATAACATCTTGTTTTAAAGGTTTTGTACTGTTTCTTAACTTTTGAATATTTGTTAACTATTTCTTGCATGCCTATTATATGCTAAACACTGTTCTAATTTCTGGGAAGGCAGTGATGAACAAAACAAAAATTCCTGCCCTCCTGGAGCTTAATTTCCCTGGAGTGGAATGTAAATGTGGTATTATTGGCAATCCTTTTCTAGAAAAATTGGGAAACAATTTGAAAATTTTATCAGTTTAATAGAATTATGTTCTAGAAATTGTCTATAAACTTTTTTTTTTTTTTTTTTTTTTTTTTTTTTTAGTTTTTCAACACATGCTCTGGAAATGAACAAGTTAATATAGAGAATCCTTCATTTACATCAACCCCTATTTGTGGGCAGAAAGTTCTTATTACAACTCCTCTTCATAAGGAAACAACTCCCAAAGATCAAAAGGAAAATGTAGGGTAAGTAGATATTAAATAATTATGTTAGAGAAAATTAGATTTTAAGAATAGGTTAACTTTTTATCCATTTATGCATATATCATATTCCTTATCCATATGGGACTTAGAACTGGAAAAAAAATCATCACCTTACATTTTATTCTTAGAAGACTGAAAACCAACTAAATGCGTATAAAACTTTGAATTCAAACAAAATAACATTTTTACTGTTTTTTTCCTACGTTAGTTCTCTTTTCTATTTTAAGATAATTGATTGGAATAAGAATTAGTTTTAGCAGGCATACTCTACAATTGTCCTGTAATCTATAATAATAAAAGCATAATATGCTAATTAGACAGGATACCCAGATGTCCTTCTGGATAAAGCTGCAGCAGCTGAGGTAGAGGCAGTTAAGGGCTATCAGACAGGAAGAGTGGTTAGGGATGATCAGGCAGGCAGGTGAGTAGTTAGGGGTGATCAGACAGGCAGGCAAGCAATTAGGGGCATCAGGCAAGCAGGCAATGTTTTTTAGGGGCAATCAGTTAGATAGGCAGAGGCAGTTAGGGGTTGATGAGGCAGGCAGACAGATGAGTGCTTATGAACCAGTTGGCCAGATTGCGAGAGGGTACAGGCTGGGCTGAGGGACCCTTCCCACCCTTCACCTCCATGCATGAATTTCATGCACTGGGCCCCTCGTGTTTAAATAAAGCATGTGTATATGCAAGATAAATTTAGTGTGTGCTTTTTATCATGATTTTACCTTCCTAATTCCTATGAAGACAAATTTTGATTGTAATACAAATATCTAAATGATTGGATAGGTTTAGAACACCTACGATTAGAAGATCTATATTGGGTACCACACCAAGAACTCCTACTCCTTTTAAAAATGCGCTAGCTGCTCAGGAGAAAAAATATGGACCGCTAAAAATTGTGGTATGTATACTCTTTTTAAGAATTTTCCTAATTTTAATTTAAAAAGTTTTATTTTTATCCTTGGTTTTTAACATTTTAAAAAATGCTGTTCACTGAAGGTGATAAAAATTTTGTCTCTTATAAGTTTGAATTTGTGTTAATCTTTCTTTTTTGACTTGTAAATAAGCCTTTGCTTGGCTATTGTGAATTTTTACTTTATGCTATGTCATCTAGAGAGAGCAAACCAAGGGTCAGCAGAGCTCTTTTCTTAACACTAAAACTAAGCTTTTCGTAATTTCAGTAGTAGTTATCTGTAGTAGAATAAAATAATTTTAATATTTTAATATACATAAGCACTTTCCTAATATTTTTTTAAATTGATTGATCAGGATATCCCTTTAAGGCTCAGTTTTCTCTTCTGTTCAATGGATTTGGTAAAATGCACTCCAAAGGGTTATTGTGAAGATAAAAGAGATAATAAAAGTAAATCTGGTGGAGCTAAGTTTTAAGTAAAATGTGCTTAATTAGTTGCCTTTAATAAGATAATTTTAATAATAGTGCAGGCAACAACAGTTCATATATATGTGAAAAAGTGCCACGCTTCATTCAATGCTTACAAGGTACAATATTGTTTTTGCCATAAACCTGGTTAGTTGATTAATTTATTCAACTTATGTATCAAAAGGGGACTGTGAGAAAAGCCACTAATGAAAAAGTATAAGAGCTGAGTTTTTATATGGGAGAAAAAGGAATTGGTATAAAAGACTTTTTAAAAACCCTTTAAAAAACAATTTAGTCACAGCCACTTGCCTTTCTGGAAGAAGATATTCGGGAAGTTTTAAAAGAAGAAACTGGAACGGACATATTCCTCAAAGAGGAAGATGAACCTGTTTACAAAAGCTGCAAACAAGAGGTAATCTTTTGGTGTCATTGTTACTAAAAGCCTTATCATGGCCAAGTGACTTTGCCATATGTTTTTATTGTAAATTATTCATTCTAGCATACTGCTTCTGTGAAGAAAGTCAGAAAATCACTAGTTTTGGATAATTGGGAAAAAGAAGAACCAGGTCCTCAACTATTGACTGAAGACATTCCAGACACACAGGTTTGTAAAGCTTTTTAAAAAATAATGGTTGCTGTGAGCTCTAGTGCTTCTTGTTGCTTAGTCATTGTGTTCTATTCATTAGAGCGTCATATAAAGTTTCCTTTAGAGTTATTCTGCTTAATTCAGAAAGAAGCATGTAACTGTAGAGAATATTTCTTTTTACTTCCTTGCTTTTTATATGTTTTTGTTTTGAGAGGAGTTGGGTCTCTTTTGTGGATGATATAAAAAAAATAGTTCTTAAAACTTTAAATTTCAGTATTTATCTTTGGCTCATTTCTAAAATATTTAATTCTACTACATTACTAGAAATTTCATCGGAGTCAAAACCTTTCTTAGAGGAAAATTAACAAGGCTTCCACTACCCTTACTCAATAGTCCCTCTATTTGTCACTATTTTTGAATTAGTTATTTTATTTTCCTCTTTCTTTTTTTTCCTCTCTTAGTCAGAAAATATATTTACAACATCTTTATTAATGATACCATTATTGGAAATACATGACAATAGGTGCAACTTGACTCCTGAAAAACAAGATATAAATTCAACCAACAAAACATATACACTTAATAAAAAGAAACCAAACCCTAACACTTCCAAAGTTGTCACATTGGAAAAGAATCTTCAGGTATGAATTTATAAATTTCTTTTAATGATTTTTGCTGTTGTTTACTCAGTTATCACTTTGGACTTACTGATCACAAATTATGCTTTTTCTTTTTAAATTAGACATTGACTATAACAGTAACTAAACATTCATTATTATTTTGCCACTCAAACTAGACAATTGGAATTGTAGTGGGATTTTGAGAGACTCCTTTATCAGGCCACATATAAACTAAACAATTGGAATTGTAGTGAGAGACTTGTCTGGTGATTTCCTGATCACTATTGTATTTTTCCCTTCATTTCCTCTTTCTCTCTCCTTCCCTCTTTTCCTTCCGCATTGGTTAATAAAATTATATAGGTTTCAGGTGTACAATTCTATACTGCATCTCCTGTATTATATTGTATTGTGTGTTTACAACCACAAGTCAAGTCTCCTTTCATCACCATTTATACTCCTTTACCCTCTTCTACTTCTGTCTACCCCCTTTCCCTTTGGTGATCACCATAATGTTGTTGGTGTCTAAGAGGTGTGTGTGTGTGTGTGTGTGTGTGTGTGTGTGTGTGTGTGTGTGTGGTTTTTTTTTTTTTTTTAACTTAATCCCTTCATCTTTTTCACCCAGCCCTGCAACCCCCCTCTTGCCTGTTCTCTGTATCTATAAGTCTGTTTCTATTTTGTTTGCTAGTTTACTTTGTTCATTAGATTTCACATATGAATGAAATCATATGGTACTTGTCTTTCTCTGACTGGCTTATTTTACTTAGCATAATACTCTTCAGGTCCATCCATGCAGTTGCAAAAGGTAAGATATCCTTCTTTACAGCTGAACTGTATTCCATTGTGTAAATGTACCACAGCTTTTTTATCCATTCTTCTACTGATGGACACTCGGGCTGCTTCCAAATCTTGGTCATTATAAGTAATGCTGCAATGAACATAGGGGTGTGTATTATTTCATTTTTAAACTAAAGATATCTAAATTCACTTCTGGCACCTCTTTTCCTATTACAAATATAGCTTTTAAGAGTAAGTAGTTGGAATCAGATGCAGCTTGATTTTTTTGATATAATGGGTTCCAGTGAACTTTTTGGCTCAAAAGCTATAAAACAAAGTCGTCGTGTGTCCCCCCCCCCCCCCCCCCCCCCCCCCCCCGTTGCTATGCAGCCATTGTGTAGTTGCAAATGAAGGCTGGACATTTTTTACTATGTTATCTAAGAATTCAAACCAGAGAATTTGAGAGTTCACTGAGGAGGAAGTTTTCTTTATACCACAATGACTACAGCACCAGCATCCCTAACATTTGCCGTATTTTCCTGCGTATAATACGACCCCCCTAATTTTACAGTTAAAACATAGATTTAGGTCTATATTTGCTGTATAAGACTACCCCCCACTTCCGAGGCAACACCAGTTCTTTTTTTAATAGACCGCCTCTCTGACTCTGGCCAATCTGAGCAGGCTTTTTACTAGAACACAGTGTAGCTTCTGGTACAGAACATGTATAATTTGCATGCATAAAAAGCCTGCTTGGATTGGCTGAGTTAGAGAGGCGGTCTATTAAAAAAAGAACTGGTGTTGCCTCAGAAGTGGGGGGTAGTCTTATACAGCGAACATAGGCCAAAACCTATGTTTTAACTGTAAAATTAGGGGGTTGTCTTATACGCCGGAAAATACGGTAAGCATTCCTTAAAAACATCTTTGGCAATCAAGTATAGCCACCTCATGTCTGTCTTGAGCCAGTGCCCTCAAAGAGCCTTGCAGCATATTCTCTTAATTCATTTAAGATAATTTGATTTCCTAGTGTTTAATACAAAGCTTTTCAGGAAAATTTATTACACAGCAGGTCATACCTATAAGGTAATAATCTTTATATCAATAATAAGGTACACATGAAACAAACATAAACTTGGCTTTGTGCTATAACTGTATTTCTTACTTTCCAAGACATAAAGCTTTTAAACTGCCTCCACAGGCATGTGAATAATATAGATAGCCAAACAAATGACCATAAATATTTCAGTATGTAATTTTAAAGCATAACATTATTTAAAAAGAATCACAATGCCATTATCCAAACATTTTTATAACTACTTATCAAATATCCAATCAATTAAAATAATTACCTTTTAATTGTGTAATTGTGAAGTAGTATGGATAATTGTTTTAATAATTTTAACATTACTATTAATATTTCTTCTCTAGTCAAACTGTGAATGGGAAACAGTGGTTTATGGGAAGACAGAAGACCAACTCATCATGACTGAACAAGCAAGAAGATACTTGAGCACTTACACAGCTACCAGCAGCACTTCAAGAGCTCTCATACTGTAATTGTTATTAAAGCTGATGAAATGCCCCACTCCCTAAGTATAGCCTATACTAAATTAAGTTGCAATGAAATTTGTGTCAATTAATTGTTTTTAAGGTTTTAATACAGCCCTAAAACGGTTTGCATCTTTATTCATACTAAGCAGGCAGAAAGCTAAGCTGCTTAAGGGGTAGAAAGTTTTGTAATTTATCTTTTAAGATATGAGATTTTTAAAAATTGTTTTTAAAGAGCAAGATGGGAAAAATCATATTAGACTGTTTATGGATATTCTAAAAGCAAATTCCCACATATTTTCTTCAGAAGATCTATGTTGTTACTCTCTTAATGCTGCAGTTTTGTTACAGAGTATGTGTAATTTCTGAAATTAGTCTGTGTATGGGAAGCACACATGGTTTTATGAAGTACTTTTGCCAACGTGCTGATTTACTTAGCCTACCATTTATAAAGAAACACAATGGAAAGGAAGTTGAAGGATAGAACGTTGCACTACTAAATTTTGGTATTTTTCAAAAACAATAAAATTAACTACAGTGTTAAATGTATTTATTTGAGTACTGAAAAAAAATGCATGGAAAAAGGGTTTTTTATTTTGTAAAGAGTCAGTATTTTTTTCATAAGTCTCAGAAGATCTGAGAGTTTGTTGAATGTATTGTACAGTATATTGGAGCAGGAAAACTTTGTAAATTGGAAAGAAGTCTGTTTTTATAATTTATTTTCATTTTTAAAGCTTAAATGTAGATATTTATACCTATACAGGGTGTCTAGAAGCCAGTGTTGTTTCCTGTTGTTATAGCTAACATAAGAACAATTTTGACTTTTAAGTATGAAATAATAAGTTATAGCTGCAAAGAATATAATATCTATACTGTTTGTCACATCTACCTAAGTATTGCACTATGCCCTTTAAATCATGTTGGTTACAAAGTAGTTCTAAAAATGTACTAAATAATAATTTAATATTTTCTTTTTAAATTATACGGGGAGGGTTCATATAAATTAATCTGGTAATTTGTATATGTGTTTGAAATTTTTGCATTTTGTTTAAAAAATAATATGGTACTTTGGTCCCTAAAAACAGTTTTGCACTTAGAAGTTTGTTATATTACTATATGTTTCAGAAATAGAGAACATTATCTTTTATTTATAAAAATATTTTGTCCTTTAAAAAAATGTTTTGTGTTTCTCTACAGGTTACAACAATTGCTTCAGTTGCCTGTTTTAGGTGTTTGCACTTATTTTATTTCTTCTTGAAAGAATGTCTTTATTTGCTTTTTGTGTAGAGATTTTATGTAATATTTTTGAGGCATGAAATAGTGTGCTGTCAACTTAAACACTGACAGGTAAATAGAATTGTACACTGTAGTTTTAATTTTTATTTATAATTGGCACACTCTCTCCCTCTCCACCCCTGAAGTATGCTGCTATGAGAGAAGGAAAGAGCGACCACCACTTGCACTGTTTGAAAAGAGAAAAAGCAAATGATGGCAGGTTCTCAAGTTAACTTAACGGAATCAACCATTACCAGGCAGATTCTTGCAAATACCAAAATACTATGCCTTTAAGACAAAAACAGCTTAAGATTTTCTGACGTCTCCATGTTAATAGAAATGGAAATACTAAGTATTTTAATGCCTAGCTCTTGAACAGTAGACCTAATAGAGTTTTAAGCTGTTTAAATCGACTAGTTCATTGTTGCATATCAGATGTAGTGAGAAGTGAAGAAAATGTCTAGTAATAAGATTATGCCTTGTTGATAACAAATAAATGGACCAATTGGAATCTTCTTAGCATCTTTGTTAAGTATGTTGATTGCTTCCTAATTAGTGAATTCTCATAGAAATTTCACTTTGTAAAACCAATGATTGTAGCAAAAATATACTGGATCATTTCAATTTTAGTTGCCTTGAATTAATAGCACATAATGGTTCATTTTTTGTTTTTTTAATTATTTTTTAATTTATGTAGCCCTTGGATGTACATAGTATCCAATCACCAAAGTATAATATCTTAGGAGAACTATATTTTTTAAAGCATAATTTTTCTTAAGCATTAAATTACTCCAAAGGTAGCATATTGCAAAGAAGCCTGGGATTATTGGATATAGTACTACTTGGGTTGGTATTGGTTGAATCCTTCAGTTAACTGCTTTGTTGCTTTTTGCAAGAACTTTTAAAATCTTAAGCATGTCAGGCATCTTAAGTCACCTTTATACTGTTGTGTTCATTTGAATTTCTTTCAGTATGTTATAAAAATGCCAGACGTTCATGTAGCAGCCATACTTGCATGGAAACTAGTACACATATATAATACTGTATTTCCTTGTAAGGTTTTCATATTAATTCAGCAATTACCCTGACTAAATTGAGTTTCTTGATGTATCGAAAAACTTTTCATTGCGAGAGAATCTTGCTTACAGTGTTGACTATTAACATTAGAAATAAAGCATTTGTGTACAAGTTGATTTGGCATTACTCATTTCCCCTTGGTTTTGTGTGTTATGCTATTCATTGAACCTTAAAGACTTACCCCAAAATTCTGTCATCAGAGCTCTATTCTCCTTTAGAACTCCCTTTATGGGTGATTCTATCTGTTAACACAATTCTTGAGCCTCTTTCTGAGCCATACTTGAAACTGTCTTTCAATAGTTCCATATGACTCTCTGTCCTCTTAAATACATCATGTCTTCTTTTTCTCAACTTTGTTCTGCCCCTTAGTGGTGTGGCCTTCCCTTCGATCCTCTAATGAGAAGTCTCCTGTCCTTCCCTCACCCCTCATATTGAAGTCTGTTGTAAATTCTCAGCCTGCATAAGACCACTGTTCTAGTTCCATTCCTTAATCACTTAATTGGATTATTTCACTTAATCACTCTGATCTGCATTCTACTGACACGTAAAGAAACCGTTCAGGGCATCACCTGGGCAAGGCCAACTGGTCCACTAGTCAGGTCTATGCATTACTACATTGCCTGGGTGAATTCATCCAGATGTTACCTTTAGCTTTCTAAGCTCATAAATTTGATGGATTCATCCGCCAGAAATGAGTTCACGTCTCAATAGACTGCTTATATTAAGTGTGAGACTGACACATGAAACAAGTGTGCAGTGTAACTGCTGAGAGGACAAGGCAGACATCTTATACTAGCTAATAAAGAGGGAATATTGCTAAATTGACATTCATGCCATTGCAAAGATGGTGGTGCCTAAAGCCAATAAAGAGGGAATATGCTAATTGACTGCCCTCACCTCAAAGATGGTAGCACCCACAGCCAATAAGGAGGTAATATGTTAATTGCCCCACCCTCAAAGATGGTGGCACCAAGTCTCCTCAGTTTTTCGCATCTGCCTCCAGAGTCCTCCCCAGACCCTTCAGTCTTCCAGCCACCCAGGGCCAGCCCAAGGTGCAGGCAAGCCTCAGATGTTAGCTGCCCAGCCACCCAGGGCTGGACGAGGCTTGTGCTGCCGGCAGTGGCAGCAGCAGAGGTGTGATGGGGCATCGCCTTCCCCTGATCGCCAGGTTGTCTCCTGCCCCTGAGGGCTCCTGGACTGTGAGAGGGGGCAGGCCAGGCTGAGGGATTCCCCCCTCTAGTGCATGAATTTTCATGCACCCAGCCTCTAGTATTAAGCTATAAAGAAACATATAGAAAGCAGATCTGCCATATTTCTTGTATTCAGAGATCTTCCATAGTTGTCTGATGCCTAAATAATTCTTCACTTCCTAATCTGGACTGGTGACAAGAACATTTATGGGCATGCTCCTGTTTCCATGCCTGTGTGTGCAATGTTTTCTCTGCATTACTGCGTTTGTCTCCCCTAGCGTATTAACATCTTACTCAACCTGCAGGGCACAGATCTGTGAATCGTTTTTTCATTATCTTAGTGCTTCCATAAAACTCCCACTAGACTTTGGTTTGAAAAGTAGAAGTTGCTATGTGTTTAGCAGGGTACTTAGAAAATCTCAGTAAGTATTAAATTGAAGAATTTTTAAAAATTAGTCATGACTTTAAAAATATTAATCATACTTATTTTATGCAACAGATTATAAATAGCTTTGGTTTACTAGTTATCTGCATGACACTGGTTTTGCTTTATAGTCAGTAAACTATTTTGTGAAAATCTTTTAGCTCATTTTATAATCATGTTATTTCCTGCTCGATTTATCCAGTTATAGAGTGATGGGCTTGCCAGCCAATCAGAATTTTAACTGTAATATAACACAGATGGTAGTTTTTGAAGAGGCACTTCACTCTGTGAGAAGTGAAAAATTATTTTTAAGTAAGTACTGGAGGGTAAAATGAACCAAATGAAATTGCATCCGAACATTACACTTCCCCCCCCTTTCTTGCTTTAAAACAATGGATATGGTCAAGAATATGTGAAATACATCACACACCAATATGAAATGTACCGGGGGAAAATTATTTATGGCTGACGTGTTAGAAAGAGAGTTTTGTATGTTTTTTTGAAAACTTTGTAGTATCTTGGCATTAGTACATTGAATTTGAGCAAACTCACTAGTGAAAGCAGTGTAGTCCACTGTCCTTATTTCTGAATGTCTCGGCCTGGGGTGCTTATTCTAATTCCAAGTACAGAACATGCTAGATTGGAGTGGATTTTCCTGGCCAGCATGGGGAAAGAGGGAAGGGAGGGTAAATTGACTTTATTCTGATTTTACTACTGTCATTCTGCCAATCCAGAGCTCAAAAGATTGGGCCAGATTCTGACATAATTTCCTAAGCCCCAATATGATTAGCAATTATTTATTCTTTCATCTAGCAATCAATACTTAACTGAGTGCTTACAGTACCTGGTGCTAGGTCCTAGAGATACTGTGATAAACGGGACATGACCCTTCCCTTAAGGAAGCTGATGTCCTAGAAGGGGAGATGAATAAGTGTGTAATAGAAATTGCTTATCTTTTCCTTTGGCTGCAAGTGAGATCAATAGCCAAGTTGTGTATTTTATTTGTAGGTACTCATTTGAGAATAAGGAAATGGTTGGTCACT